CACTCTGTACAAGGCCCAAGAGTAACTCAATGTAGATGGTTACAGAGTAAGAGGCACAGGTTTAAAGTGTAGTGATCTGAGAAGCATTCTGTTGGGAATTGGTTTCATAAAGCATTGTTTCATGGGAAGAATCTGCTCAATTGGAACTTCCATGTCACTAATGGAATACAAAGTGGATGAGGGTGGTTCACTACAATTTGCATGGCATAGCAGGTCCAAACTGTGAAAGTTAGAACTGGTGGAACTAAGGAATGTAGTTTGAGCAATTGCCATAGAAATAGCATTAGAGCAGTGAGAGGCTTGTCATATTTCATCTGTGGGAAAGCAGGTTTGTAGGATGCAAAATAAATTATCACCCACAAGGATGCGGAAATACTTTTGGATGCTATTGAGACTGCCCATATATGGTACCAATACTCTATTTTCTTCCTGATATGGGACTTGTAGAGGATAGCAGGAGTAGTCAGATACTTACTGGGTCAGTACAGAGAATTGATTCTTTTTCTTGTTTTCATATATATATATTTCACATAAACATGTGCATATATACACACATTTTTATGTATGCCTGCTGTATATGCACAATATGCGTAGCCTTCCACGCATACTTACACAGACCCACTAGAAAAAAATTTACTTTTAATAGCTCCTTTTTGACCCCCCCCCCAAAAAAAAAAATCAAAGTGTATCCCATGCTGAAAACCGTGATGTTAGTTCATCAAGGTGGCAATGACCTCAGTGGTAGACTTGGTCTAAAAATATTGGTTGCCAGGAGACAAATGGGGCCAATTCACAATTACAATGCTTTCATTTAATTCTCATAAAAAATAAATTAAAATTTTCAAAAAATGCATACGGTAAAAAGGGTACAATTAAATATTTGTAAAAAGGGTACAATTAAATATTTGGGGGGAAAAAAACAAAAGTGTATTTCTTAGTAATTACAGTGTACATGTACTGTAGATATTACTGGCGGTAGATACCAAATGTGAATACAAAATGTTATAATTGAATTTATTTGTTTTTAATTTTAAATAATTGGTTGATATTTTTAAATAGTTCACTGCACAATTTCCACATTAACAGATTGTTCAAAAGCAGAATAGAGCATTGTATGCAGTTCACTATATTAAGAGCATTTGTTTGTATTCACTAGATTTTTAAAGCATTTCACTCCAAGCAAGGTGTGAGTGCCACTGGTTTGCAGGGGGTTACATAGAGTGAAGGTGAGAGAAAACTTTTGTGGGGGGGAATAAGGAAAGGATAAAAGATGAACGGGTTCAAGACATTAAAAGATGGCAATTGATGTTGCATTTAAATTTTTGAATATTGTAGTTTTCAAGGAAGCAAGTAAATGGAAGGTGGGAAGTTTGAGAAAAGAAGCTGTTGGAATGGAAGTGGCGGTTACATTTAACTATTTCAATGGTAAAAGGGTGGGATGTAGATGTCAGTCTAGTAGCACACTTAAATTTATGTAGTTAGGGCAACAGGTTGGGAAGGAAAGCTTAAAAGAGCAGTTAACATGAATTGTGCGAATCTGCCAATAATTGCTTCTGCATCAAATTCATTTGACGATTCCTTTTCAATGAAGAGCAATATGTGTGATGCCATCTTCTTAAACAGCAAATTTCTTAATCTTTATGACCTTTAGCTTTGAAAATGTCCTCTCACATTGGACTGGAGTGACTGATAGTGGGTAGATGACTTTATAAAGTTCTTACTCCTTTTTGTTGCTATAACAGTTACCTGTATTTGTTTCTTTATTGCATTTTTATTTGATGTAGGGGCCCCAATCCATCAAAGACCCACTTATCATTGAGCAATTTGACACTCTGGCCACTAGAAAGGCTTAAATCCATCTTTTCTCCCCTGTTATGGGTTAAATATTTGTCTGGGGTTGTTGAACTTGGACATGGGCAATATAATTATCATCAGCCTCCTTCAACATTTCCTGACAGAGTTTGTTTTTCAAATGTAAACAATGAGGAAATAAACAATTTATCAAACTGATTTTATCAGATTTTTATCAAATGTTAAATACAATTTTCTAAAGTCTCAAAAGTTATGATTAGAATTGTAATAAAACCTAAACACATGTTGAAAGTAAATTTATACATTTGTGTTTGTTCTTGAGAATTTATAACAAAAATATTAAACATTATTTATTAGATACATTATTTACATTCGGACTATTGTCCTCATCTTTGTCGCCATATTTATTATGTTTCAGCCGTTGTACATTCCAGCCTTCTTCAGGTGGTTGGAATGTCGAACTGAACCCTTTATTTCGATCACTGGAGTAGATTGTTCTAGTTCCATGTGCCATGTCCAATGGATGTCAGTTATCAGTTATCTCCTGTTAATTTTCCCTCTGAAAGTTCTCCACTGCCTTAAACAGGTATTGAACTCAGACTTTTTGCTCCTGTAACTGGATCTAACTAACGTTGTAATAAGTATGGCGACAAAGATGAGGACAATAGTCCAAATAATGTAATACCTCATCTCAGAAATATAGACAGATTAATTATTAGATTGTTTATTTGTAAGGATAATTTTATATTAAAAGAGTATTGTAACATTTTATGGCACAGTTATAAGTTCAAAAATACTCTGGTCACTTAGATTTTTATACTCAGGGTCGCCTGTATTGAAACAGGCATTTATTTGTGTGACAATTCAAATATTTGTTCTTTGTATGAAAACAATGAGGAAATTAACTAGAACAAATTGAACTGATTTTATTAGCATTTTTATCAAACATTGAGTAAGGTTTTCTAAATTCTCAAAAGGCTTGTCTGCAATGAAATATTAGAATTGGTTTAGGTCAGTCAGTTATGTGCCATGTGTGATACATGCTTAGGCGATCATGTATCTTTTAATACATGACTGACAAAGCAGATTTTTTCCTGCAGTAGGTTGCCATTTCTTTCTACGTGTTATAGTGGAACACACCTATTCTATAGTTAATAGACTCTCCCACCTATAATAAGTAGGAATAGTAAGCATAATGAGGGAGTCGCTCAGGGGTTCGGGCAGTCAGTTGATGCCGGACGACTGTTAGTCGGATACTAAAGTATCAGCGGCCACAACTAGATTTCTCTGCGTCATTACCTATTATATCAAGTTCCTAACATTTTGTATGTTGAACCTATTTTAGGACCGACTTAGTACAAATACAAGCCTCCACTGTGAAATCACTCCATAACACTACAGTAGACCAGTTGCCATCCAAGGCTACAGAACCCAGTCAGTCCTGCTATTTACCCATAGCTGGAGGGAGAAGAGGATTCATACCTTTCCCAAGGGTATTAGCACATAAGTGAATGTAATGGATTCGACTGGAATTTGAACTCGGCTCTCCGATTCTTCAATCTGAGCCGCTATCTATTAAACCATCGTGTCTCCTTCGTTTAGGTCAGATGACTTAGAAATGTTCCAGTGATTTTAATTTTTCTTTGTTTTAGGGCTTCTCCAATCAAATGACTATTTTAGGGACCCACCTTTTTACCCCTTAAATGACCCACAAAGTTTTTACTTAAATGCTTCAGGACCTAATTCATTTCTTCTTAAATGCTTAAATGCCTATTTTTTTTTTTTTTTTTTTATTTATTTATTTTTATCAACCCTTAGATCGTTATTTTAAGCCTCAACCTATTTTCTTTAAATTAATTATTTTCTGGTTCTAAGTTGTTTTTTTTTTCCTCTTCAATAGCTATCATTAGGGGTCTATGTTTTTAAACAGTTATTTAAGAGGCTCAATATCTCTCAAACCTTTCAGGGGCTTAGTTTTCTTAAATGGTTAATTTAGTAGACAATTTTTTTACCTTTCAACTCTTTATTAGATGTGCAATTCTCCCAAATTATTATTTCAAGACATTAGGCAATCTTTAACAATTGTGCCTGCAAAAAAAAAAAAAAAAAATAATAATGTAACAAAAGGACAGTTTTTCCCTTGACACCACTATAATTTTAACTACCTTCATTCCTCAGCAATGTTTATTGTTTTAAAAAGCAATAATTAGAGTTATAAAACTTAAACACATGATGAAAGCAAATTTACACATTTGTGTTTGTTTGTTCCTGAGAATTTACAAGAAAAATATTAAATATTTGTTTATTTGCAAGGATAATTTTATATTAAGAGTATCTCAACATTTTACAGCACAGTTATAAGTTCAAAAATACTCTGGTCACTTAGGTGTTCATACTCAGGGTCATCTGTATTGAAACCGGCATTTATTTCTGTGACAATTCAAATATTTGTTCTTTGTCTGAGATTTCATTTGTTGTACAAAAAGTTTATCCTGCCGCTGAAGGTGACTCTGATTCCTGAATGTCAAAGTTGTCATATCCTGCTATGGCAACAGAAAGCACCTGTGACTGAAACTGACAATAAGGTTACTGCAATTGAGTCGTTGAAAAAGGAAGTAATATTAATAATGCAGACTGCTAAAAGTTAATGTTATGCCTTACTGGTTTTATCAATGTTTTTATCAAATGCTGAGTATGGTTTTCTAAATTCTCAATGTTTGCCTGAGCTGAAATATGAGAATGGGTTTAATTTCCATAACTGAAAAATGTTCAGATGATTTTAATTTTTTCTCTTCATTTCAAATCCAGATGATGGAAATACTAATAACTGAGGAAGTGCTGTATAAGTTTTCATTAAGTAATAAGAACAACAATTCTTCAAGTAAAGGCAATTAAAAAGTTGACAGTGAAAAACGAGATATTTTCTGGACAGATCTTGTGAGGCTATTTTTTTTTGTTAAAATATCTGGATAGGTCTTTTAGTTCTCTTCAAAGTACTCTTGGATCATAACACAATTATTTTATTACTTTGAATTTTGGGGTGGGGTTGGGTTATCTACAAATTTGCTTTTGGGATCACCATCAGCTTCTTGATTAATCTCACCCATAGCATTTTGTTGGTCATTTTTAGCCAGTAGTTAAGATTTGGCATGCTGACAGATCTGTATCTGCATGGGCACAGCATTCCAATGGGTCAGCAAGTCTGTGCAAGAATGGCATTCCCATGGGCCAACATCTGCACCGGCATGGCATCCCTCTTGGCCTACATCTACGTAAGCTTGTGGGAATCACTTACATGTGCCACACCTCCGTTTTCTTTATTGTCATTGGGTAATAAATACATGATACTTATTATAGGACAATTTAACCATCGCAAGTAATTCAAAATTTTCTCTAAAATCACGGATTGGTCCATTTCCTGACCAATCGCGTATATTAGTATCTCTTCTATATTTCGGCACCAAGCCATCCGGAGCCTAAAACTTGTTATATAAAGACTCTCGCTGTTTGCCAACACAGTAGCAGTTCAATTCTTGGAAAATAAGGCACGGCGCTATACTGACATTTTAATTCTTAATTATCACTCAATCGAGTAATCATACTAATTCATATTGATATCACTCATGAACATTACATTTTTCTACACTGATAAAACACTGTGGAACTATTCTTTATTTAGCTAAGACTTCAATTGAACTTTGTAGTTAAATTACATTCAATTTTGTACTCAACATTTATTAGCTAAACTTACCCTTTTTATTACGGAAAAAGGGGAACAACTTTCTTTTATACTATTGTTGATATTTGTATATCATTGTTAATAATACAATACTTTATTAATGTTCACTGAGCTTGATTACTTTTCTCTCGTGTTTGTTGTGCATTATTCATGTGGGGTGTTGTTTTACAAGAACACAGTATTCCTTCTTTATTATATTCACGGTGACCCTAGCCAACAATACTTACAGCACCACTACAAGCTCTAATAATTCCATTTTGCACAGGTGTACGTCGTTTATGAACTGTCCCTTCATGATATAGAAAATCATTCCCCTTCATATTTTCCTGTCCATTATACCCCTTAATAAGTTGTCTTTTTCGTTATTTCTCCCAAACCCTGTTCTGCCATCCCATACATCAAGTATGTTACACACTGCTTCCCTCTGTCCCTCAATATGTCCTGTGAGTATCAGATTTTCCAATCCCTCCTTCCTCATTACATGCTCCAGAAATTTCAACTGCCTCTTTCTGACAAGTTTCCTTTTTATTTCCATACTCTCCAAAATTTTGTTGTTGCTCACATGTCGGCTCATGGTATCCTCAGCATCTTTCTGTAGAATCACATTTCTTTTCCTTGAGATTGTCCAGCATTTGCTGCCATACAGGAGGACAGATATCACATACTCTTTTCTTTCTGTCTATATTTCTGAGATGAGGTATTATGTACATTATTTACATTATTCGGACTATTGCCCTCATCTTTGTCGCCATATTTATTACAGCGTTTTGGCTGTTGTATACTGCGACCTTCTTCGGTTCAGTTCGACATTCCAACCACCTGGTTAAGCATATTAGCTCAAAGGTGATTTCCAAGAGGAATATAGGTTTGATTCTTGTTATAAGACATTTTGATCTGAAAGCTGGTAGATATTTCTAGATCACCTGGTTAAGGCAGTGGAGAACTTGGAGAGGAAATAACTGATAACTGACATCCATTAGACATGGCACGTGGAACTAGAACAGTCTACCCCAGTGAGTAAAATAAAGGTTTCAGTTCGAAATTCCAACCACCTGAAGAAGGGCAGAGCATACAACGGCCCAAATGTAATAAGTATGGTGACAAAGATGAGGACAATAGTTTGAATAATGTAAATAACGTACTCTTTTCTTTTGTTTCTGATAATTTTTTTTATCTCTTAATACTTTTCTTAGCTTTTGGATTGCAACTTTGGTCATTGTTATACATCTTCAGATCTCTGTCGAAACGCTTCCCGTCCTCTGTCGAAACGCTTCCCAAATACTTAAATTTCTGTAACTGTTTAATATTAGTATCCTTGACTTGTAATTTGCATTTTGGGCTCATACTTTTGTTGATGACCGTGCATTCTGTCTTCTTGTAGTTTGTGCTTAGTCCTTCTTGATTTCCTTCACTATTTTCTGTAGAATGTTTTGTAGTTTCATTTACTGCTGCCAGATTGTATTATGAAAGTCGGTGTTTACCACAATATAATCAGTATTAACTGACAGATGCTGGTAAAACTTTCAGGATATAATTATGTGAGCAAAATATATCATGTGAGTTACAACTTATTATATTTATCCTTATTAACAAGATTGATAATCTTATACACCCAAAACTAATTTTCTTATGCAAGCAGACTAATTGCAACAAAGTTTTTTTATTTTTTTTATTTACAGATAAATCCCCAAATTACAAGCCATAGAAACATATATTTGATTATTACAAAATATCATATCTATAAATTATTTTCCAGATTAATAATAGAGACTCCTTGACATTCTAAAACCTTTGTCAGTCTGCCATTGATTAAGTTTTTCTGCTGTTTTTGAGCAATTTTCATTATACAGAATTCTTTGCTTGAATATTATTTTACATTTGTATATATAAACTCTTTAATGATAGGCCACAAGTTTTTTTTTTGGTTAATATCCACAGAGGATAGTGGGGCTATGAAGCTAATTTAATGTCTCCGAAAGAACTTCTTCACTTTGTCTTTTTCTTCATTTTTTTTTTTTTTTTTTTTTAAATTTTTCTTAATCTTTTGTTTTTTCTCGCCTTTGCTTTGCCTTGCCATTTTCTCTCCCCCACCCTACCTACACACCTGTTTGGTTTCTTTTCCCCCCCCCCCCATTTCCCCCTTTCCCCCATCAGGTTTCCTTTTCTTTTACCCCCCCCCACCTGTTAGGTTTCCTTTTCTTCTCTCCCCCACCTGTTAGGTTTCCTTTCCTTACTCCACCCCCCCACATTTGGGTTTCCTTTTCTTTACTCCCCACCCCACCTGTTAGGTTTCCTTTTCTTTACTCCACCCCCCACCTGTTAGGTTTCCTTTCCTTTACTCCACCCCCCACCTGTTAGGTTTCCTTTCCTTTACTCCACCCCCCCCACCTGTTAGGTTTCCTTTTCTTTACTCCCCGCCCCACCTGTTAGGTTTCCTTTTCTTTACTCCACCCCCCACCTGTTAGGTTTTCTTTTTTTTACTCCACCCCCCCACCTGTTAGGTTTCCTTTTTTTCCACCCCCACCTGTTAGGTTTCCTTTTCTTTTCCAAAGTTCGGTTTTTTTCTTTACTCCACCCCCCACCTGTTCGGTTTCCTTTTCTTTACTCCACCCCCCACCTGTTAGGTTTCCTTTTCTTTACTCCCCCCACCTGTTAGGTTTCCTTTCTTTTACCCCCCCCACCTGTTAGGTTTCCTTTTCTTTACTCCACCCCCCCCCACACCTGTTAGGTTTCCTTTTCTTTACTCCACCCCCCCCCACCTGTTCGGTTTCCTTTTCTTTACTCCACCCCCCCACCTGTTCGGTTTCCTTTACCCCTCCGCCCACCTGTTTCTTTTTCCTTCATTAAGTGATCTTGATTTTTACAGAAAGTCAATAAGCATGGTTTTGCAGGAATACTCTGGAGAATCCACTTGTCCATTTAATTATGGAATGTGGTATGAACATAAAAGGAGGTAATTAGGATATTGAGGGCAACTAATGACTTCCATCATTATTGATGGGATTGCAATATCGCTCTCATTATTGCTATCATTGATGTGACTGAAATATCTCTTTGAGTATTGTAGCCAATGCCATTATTTCTTTTGTCAAAACATTTACGAATAAACTTGTTCAATTCAGGATTGCATCAATCTTTAATCTTCAGGCTTAGATTGTACTCATTTTGTCTAGGGATATCTTGTTCTTAGTGCTGCTCCATTATTGCTTGCTGTTATTGAACAAATTACTTTTGTAGATTAAAGAAACTGCTTATGAAAGCTGAAGGTCACAATGGGCAATACAATGTGATAATGACAACAAAGATGCGGACAGTAGTCTGTGTGTGTCAATAATAAATCCTCATTCTAGAAATTCAGACAGAAATATTCCAGTTTAACAATCCATTAAGGCTTAAAAAGTCAAAAAAACTATTCAAATGCAGGTAAAAATCACATGAATGGAAATGCTTTATAAATTAATCTCCTTTGCTAAAGAGCACAAATGTAAAATGGCTGGTTGAACATAACATATTTATGCATATTTAAAAAAAAAAAATTGTAATCTAAAAAAAATTTTAAAAAGTTTTAAAAATACTAAATTTGAAGTTTTAAAAATACTAAATTTGAAAGTTTTAAAAATTACTAAATTTGAAAGTTTTAAAAATTACTAAATTTGAAAGTTTTAAAAATTACTAAATTTGAAAGTTTTAAAAATTACTAAATTTGAAAGTTTTAAAAATTACTAAATTTGAAAGTTTTAAAAATTACTAAAGAAAGTTTTAAAAATTACTAAATTTGAAAGTTTAAAAATTACTAAATTTGAAAGTTTTAAAAATTACTAAAAAAGTTTTAAAAACATAAATTTTACTAAATTTGAAAGTTTTAAAAACTAAATTTGTTTTAAAATTCTAAAAAAGTTTTAAAATTTAAAAAGTTTTAAAAATACTAAATTTAAAAGTTTTAAAAATACTAAATTTGAAAGTTTTAAAATTACTAAATTTGAAATTTTAAAATTTTAAATTTGAAAGTTTTAAAAATTTGAAAGTTTTAAAAATTACTAAATTTGAAAAGTTTTAAAAAATTACTAAATTTGAAAGTTTTAAAAATTACTAAATTTGAAATTTAAAAGAAAGTCACATGATTGGAAATGCTTTATAAATTAATCTCCTTTGCTAAAGAGCACAGATCTAAAATGGCTGGTTGAATATAACATTTATGCTGTCCATGATTTTGAATGGTAATTTGGCATTATAGGATTGTAGCATCTGGTGGTATGAAATGCAAAGAGTACATATAAATGATGCATTTTTCTTCTTTAAATCTGTTCATACCAAGCAAAGTGATAATACCATTAAGACACACGGGGCTAGTGAAACCGACGAAAAACCTTTTAGAAGGAACCGGAAACTCTAATCTTAAACAGGAAATGATGGATAAACTTCTACTCCTAAATTATTATCTGTTTCCTTATAAAGAAAAGATGCAACCTTCATTGACAGAGCAGCCAGTAAAACTTATGGTTGAAATTGATAAAATCTGTCTCTTAAAACCATTTTTCCGGAAATTGAGTTTCTCAAGTCCAGTAGCTGTTATCACTCTTGATGGGAGTTTCCTTCCTAACCTTTTGTTTAAAGCAGTTTGGAATGTTAGCATCTTGATTGTCATTATTTTCTCTTTTTTGCATTATATGTGCTATCTATTTTAGCTGTTGACATCATTGAAAATCCTCAAATGATATGGTTTTTATAATCTGGTCATGTTCTTTCTTTGAGTCTGTAGTACCAGTTTACAAGGTTCAAATAAGTGTTTTTCACCCAGACTCATAGGCCTCATTTGCTCAAAGCCATTTTTAACCATTGATCTTAGAAAGCACTTGTATTCTGCAGGCAGTTTAGATATTTCTGAACAGGTTTGGTACCGTGCATACCATCTATATAAAAGCGTGCATGCCATCTATATAAAAGTCTTGATCTGAAAAGCTATTTAAGGACATGAGTTTTCAAGTTCATATTTTGGTTTTGTAGCAATATGTGGTATTGGGCAAAATTACCTCTAGCGTAGCCTCTTCTATGCTCAATTTCTTTACCTCCTTTGTTAAATTTCTTATAACTTTGCTATATGCAGAGGTATTTGAAGTGTTTCATATTTAATAAGATTAGATGATAGATAAGACCCTACATGACCCCTAATTTCAGCAAGGAACAATTTTTGGGATAACATTATCAGCTGACATGAAGTGGAAATATATTGAATCAATTGCTAGGTCTGCTGCTAGGAAAGTTGGTTCACTGTATCATGCTAGACAATTTTTTTCCCCCAAATTTATAAGTCTACCATTTGTCCTTGCTTTGAATTTTGCTTCCACATATGGTCTGGTGCTCCTGCTATATATTTAGAGGTTCTTGATAAAGTCTAAAGAATCAGCAATATTATTGGTCCTGACCTGGCATCTCAGTTTGACTCACTTTCCCACCACTGAAAAATGGCTTCCCTGTGCCTTTTCTATAAATACTTTCTCTCACCAATATACAGTTGAGTTGGCTAGATGTAGCCGTAAGTGTATGCTAACATTTTCTCACACATCTTGATTGTGGAACTCACTTCTGGCTCCATGTGTTCCAACCAACTTTGATCTTCAAAAATTTAAATCAAGATCAATTTTTATCTATTGTCTTCCTGATTACTCTTCTATTGTTTTGCCGTCCTGGATATGACGATAAACTATGTCCAGCAGCAAGGCCTCTGATCAGGACGTTTTGAGGAGTGTGGAACCACCTCTTAATTGCTTGTGTTCCCAGGTTCACCCTGACCTGGGGTGGTAGCACCTGTTAGGGTCCCAGCTATGGGCAAATAGTTAACACCCAAATTTGTGTAAAAATAGGTTTTAATACCAGAAATACTTTGTGATAAAAAAAAAAATTATTACCAGCAATAATTTTTGAAGGAAAAAATTATCAGCAATACTTTAAAAAAAAAAATACCAGCAATACAAACAGCTATACATTGTATTAAAATTTTGTCAGCGTTAAATAACCCATTGAGGTTGATATGCCATAAATCAAATCATATCTTCGATTGTTTTTGCTTCTTAAAAATGTTTCCATTTTCTGATTCTTTACCTCTCAGTAACCCACACTCTCTTACGGGTTTTTTTAACTTGAATGGGTTGAAATGATTTAAAAATAAAATAAAATAAGGGATTATCATATCATTTGCTATCTAAGGTAGCATGCTCATTTTGGCTGCTATTCTCAGAACACTTCGAGTGTTACATTCTGGCCTTCTTCAGGCTTCTCTCTTCATCCTTGGTATTTTCAAACTTCAAAGGTAAATTTTTGTTACACTATCTGTTATTAGAGTATATTCTATATCATTTACTTTTCTGTTGTTCATTCATTTATTTCTCTGGGTCAGATTTCGTCACTTTTTAACATGACCAAATCCTGGTATTGGAGTAAAAAATGATGGAGGTCTGTTATGCTTCAACCAGTGTTTTAATCAACTTGGTCATGTTCACACAGTTGAATAGGACTGGTGAATACTGATAAGAAATATTCCTTAAGTGTGGAAAGCAGAACGAGAAGAATTTATCCCTGTTGATTTAATAAAGGGTCAGTTGGAGATTGGGAGGTCACCGAGTATGAAAGCTTACAGTCCTATCTGGTTGAAACTGCTGGTTGTTGTTTCATCACCACAGTTAAGTCACATTGAGCCTGGTCAGTTCCTAGATGGGTAATTGCTTGGGAATACCAGGTGCTGTAAGCTTCAATGTGCAGGTGGTGTAATGGATAACAGCTTTGTATTGGAATTCGGAGAGCTGAGTTTGAATTCCAGTTGGGTTTGTTATATTTACTAACACAAATACTCTTGGGAAAAGTTATGAATCCACCTCTTCTCTTTCCAGCTATGGGTTAATTAATTGGACTTGGATCAGTAAATAATGGTTCTCTCGCAAAAAGGAAAATTCTTACAATCTAAAAATATTTCCTGGTTTTATATAACCTGAAAAAGTTTAATAATCCATTAAAAAAAAAAAAAATAATCTATCTTACATATCTATAAGTCTAGCATTCATCCATGCTTAGAATATTGCTGCCATATATGGTCCAGTGCTCGTGGTATTTACCTTGAGCTTCTTGATAAAATTCAAAGAAGAATCAGCAATATTATCTGTCCTGATATAGCAGCTTGGCTTTAGTCACTTCTCTGTGCCTTGTCTATAAATACTTTCAGAGTCATTATTTAGATGAGTTCTTCAATATGGTAGCTAGATTTTTTGAATTTAAGTGTTGGCATCGAGATCTCATTAATTTACAGTTGAGCCAACTAGATGTAACCATAAGTTCTATGCTAACAATTTCTTGCACTTCTCACTTGTGGAACATTTAAATGCAATGTCAATCACTATCTACTGTCCTCCTGATTACTTTTTTCTCTTCCTGCTCATTATTAATGTTTCTGTTTCTAATTCTTCAACACCAAGTAACCACTTGTATCTTAGTGGCTTTTCTGCCTTGCATGGGGTAAAACCAATTTAAAAAAAACATAAAACTAAGTATGAAGATGACAATATTAGATTGACTAGAAAGATTGATAACAATGAATTTCAATTTTATGTGCCTTTTTTTTTTTTTTTTTTTTTTTTTTTTTTTTTTAAAACTGACATTACATTATCAGTTATAAACTAATAATATACATTGTTTATCTACATGGCTGGTGTGGTGCGTACTATGCAGGAACTCTGACAAGGGCTAGTTTCAACACCATTTTCTTTTTTTTCTACCTAAGTTATATTGTCAATCATCAACTATAATAATTGACAGGGCTGGTGCTTACTGCCCTGAACCTCTCAACCCCATGGGGGCTC